AGCCATTTGTCACTCCAGGATTCCATCTTGTTAAGGTCTTCTTGTAGAATTTGTCTGTCATTCTGGGTTTTTATTATTCTAAAGATACTAGGTATGAGAAAAATATTCAACAGTATATCAGACAACACCAACCACCAGCACCGAACTCCTCGAAGAAAATAGACATACAAACAACAAAAACTACAAAAAACAAACTTGGTTCATGTAGCTTGAGTTGATACAGGCACGACATTGAAAGGGTTAAACCAGTCTTACGTGCACACAAACCTCTCGCTTTGATTCAAAACTAAAAGTAGGGGTGTAAAAAAAAACGATCGTATAGCACTCTTTCATATGTAGCAGCCAACGAAAAAGGTTGGTTGAAGTAATAAATAACTGATTAAAAGTATTTACCCTAAGCAGAGATATGAAAGTTGATAGACGTAAAGGTTTGATCCAAAGATGTTTGAATTAATAAACCCCTTGTCCTTTCATGAGTGTTCGTTTGAAAATTTACAAAAGATCAACCAAAAAGAGTGTAATATTTGAATTGGTATGTTTGGTTTAATTGGAGAAAACAAACAGCAGGGCGTGAATAGTGATTCCGGAACCGTCTCAAAATGTTACGGAAATATCAAGTTTTTCGAAATGCCATGCGCATGAGCAAATAGTGGGCTTATAATTTGGAAAAATGTCAGGTTTAATGATTTATTTTGTTGGAAAACTGCCGAAAGATTAAAATATTATAATAAAAGAATGTGACAGTTATTTGACGAATATTACTGGACTGAAATTTTTGTATCATTAGTATGTACGGTAAAATCCCTTTTTTTTTATTAGCTCCCGCTCAGCCTTCCTTTAGCTTTCTCTCTGGATTGTACAACTTCTATGACGCTTCAGTAGAATGTCAGGCTATAGGAGGACAACTTGCTGTGTTAAACAATCCTGAAGTAATGAACCGCGTCATGGATGAGCTATATGGCATGTAAGTAACGATATAATGCAATATATTTAGTTCTGATGCTAAATATTTCAAAGTGCTTTCAAATTGGTGAATCATATTTTAGTATACAACAAAATGTAGCACTGAATATGAAAGTTTTATATATTGTTTCAAAGTAAAGTCGTTTGTTTTAAAACGGTCTTTCTTATAAATTTTTATTAGGAGCAACCAAAGGAAAAAAAACATGAAAAGAAAAGCATAGGTTTTAAAATTGATTTTTTATCATTCCCCATCGAATATTTTATTCTATCCAGACTGAGTGTCTTATGCAAATGAATAAAAGGACACGTGGGTTCTATGTCCATAAGACAGTTTCTCGAATATTTGCCAACAGCCTAAATTCTTCAAACAACAAAAAGCTAAGGTAAAGTAATACAAAGAATAGAGAATAATGGGGAAAACATATACAGGAAAGAAATAAATGACCTAAAAAATAAAGAATACAAAACAAAAAGGACCATTCATCCAGACCCTCTCGTAACAGGAGCGAAAATACACACATGTTAGTCCAGAGCAAAAAAATCAAACAATACAACTACACGGCTGTCATTGGGTATATCGAGAAAAATTATCGTGAAAGAATAAATCACGGCGGTCAAGTCGGTTGCGATTTGATTGTGAAAGATCTGGTATATAACGTGAAGGAAATCTTATCGAGAAGACCCGTGTAATGTTAACGTCATTAAATAATCTAATTCTATGAATAATTATGACAAATTGTGGAAAAATAAAACTGTTTGTCAAAATGGTTCAACATTATGATTAGTATCCGAAAAAAATCAAGGTTTAAAAGTACACCGTTTTTGACAAAACCACAAAAGACAGATTGCTCCTCGAAAATTCAAAGAAATAAAAATGTAAACAAACATGGTTCTTTTCATATTTTGAAAATATCGTTCCATATTACTGTTTAAAATGGTTCTTAGAGTCATTTGATTTAGTTTAGTTTAATCAGAAACTTTGCAAAATGGGAATATTTGTAAAAATTTGATATTTCGGATCGTGAAAGATCGGGTATGGCTTTTTGATGATCGTGGAAAGGATCGTGAAAGATCTGTTGCCGCTCATTCGTCATTGCAAATATCAAAAAAAAAACAAAAAAAACGATGAAATTATTTTTTAAACACATGATAATATATATTTTGTAATTAAAAGATTGGATTTGCATGACTTATTCAGCTTCACTTTTGTTTGCAAATAGGGCTATGCTAGTATAATTCCAAAGGAAATGATTATTTGATAATACCACACCGACTAGTTGTATTATAACAATAAAAGTAGAAAAATAACGCGAATATAAATCGTCGCGAATATGTAAAATTTGTTCTTTCTTATTTAACTATAGTGACATATACACTTTCCTGGTAAAATTCAAAACAAGTAAAATAAAAATACAAGGATATAAAAAAAATGAAAACGTTAAAAAACCTTAAGTGTCCGAATCGCATTTCTGGTCCCATCCGGATAACATGCATGAGGAGCGCCAAAAGTCCAAAACCTGAAAGCTGGATGCACATATATTGAACCACGTCAAGAGTTATACGACCAAATGGAACATAGATAAAATTATATATAAACAAAGTCACACCTAGAATCTAAAACTCAAGACCATCCTGTATTATTTGTGAAGTAGTCACGATCCCATCGCAATGCTTGACCACCGTTAGTTACTCTTTCACGATCATTTTTCTCGATATACAGAATGACACCCGTGAACATTATAAAGATTAAATCAATCATTTTCATTATATATTAGGACTATTACAAACGACATATGGATTGGATTGTATGGTAACGGGACCAACTTGGTCTGGCAAAACATGGCTGAGGTAGTATCTTACGCCAACTGGAATACTTCTGCACCACAAAGTTATACTGGGGTAGCAGTTGTGATGACCAAATCGGACTTCACATGGCGAGGACAACAGATGACAGATCGAACAGGCCATGCTTTATGTCAAGGTTTAACCAAAATAAATGCTTGAATTTTATGCAGATAAATACATTTACTATTTAAGGGACAAAGTGAAATAAGTTTAGTGTAGATTTTTTTAGACAAAAATGTTGACATTAAAATCTTACGATTTCGACTTCAACTCGAAAATAGAACTTATTTTTGATATTTCGACTTTTTAAATTTAAATTTATACTTTTAAGAGGATTGTTATGGCCAAACGTGGCCTAAAAAAAATGCAAAACATCAAACTTACATATCAAATCACGTGGAAATTTTCAATATGTCTGTCCAAAGTCAGAGATTCAAAATGTTGAATTTTTTACTTTTGAAATCCCCATCATGAACATATTTGATAATACTAGTACTCAATAATACTCGTCGATAATTAATGATTATTTATGTATAGATTAAAAAACATCTATAACATATTTTGTAGGGGAATGGGAAAACAGTTTTTTACAATTATACCATGGACTTTAAAAAGAAAGAAAGCAAGACTGGCCGCGCGCAGTCGTCTGAATGTTTAGACTTAGGAACAACATAGTCAGCGCGTGGCTACTAAGATAAACTGCCCGTTTTTCTCTAGTCGATATAAATGAATGCCTAGGGTGGGAATCGAACTCACGTACTCCAACTCAGTGGTCCTATTTTTTCAAATGATCAAAGTTTCGCTCCAGGAACATAAAACAAAAACATATATATAATATACTAAACTAGAAAAATATAATTTAGGTAGTTTGATAACCTTGCTTTTTGGTTATTAAGATGTATACTTGGGCTGCATCCCCATGGGCTCCATTGTACAGCTATGCGTTAAACAATTGATTTGCAATACACTGCTGACATCTCGAATTTAACGAGGATGAAAATTATACCATACATACTTATGGTATAATTTTTAGTGTACAGCTATTGACTTATTGTTACTTAAAACATTTTTTTTTTTTCAATTTAAAACCAAATAATGTATTTCAAAGATGCATACCCCCTCCCAAAGATGAATGGTCGGTGCCTAAGACTACACCTTTATTTTTATTTTCTTATCTTATAGTCAACTATCTTCCAGTAGTGTCAGGTTTGACATACGCAGAAGCCAAAGCTGAGTGTTTGAAGTATGCATTACATCCTGCTCTTCTGAGAACTCAAGAGGAAGACATTATCGCTAAAAATGCGCTAAATACACCAAAGTAAGTAATACCATAACTAATATTTCATTTCAACTGCTTATGCTAATATTGAACTTATATGTATAATACATATGTTCGCCACTGGCAGTCAGCAGGGTTTAAGAACATTTGTTGTTCGACCTGTTAGTCAAATGCATTTTGTTAAAATATACTTTTTCACTTGTTTGGTCTTTTGAAAAATGTTGTTTGTGCTGTATTTAGACCCCTCTATCAAGAAATTTGTTTTGCATGCACACGTATAAAAATTGCGGTATTTATCCAACGCAATCATAGATTTGAACGTTGTTTTTAATTTAGACTTGTAAATACATATATTTATATGTATAAAAACAATCGTAAACCAAAACACTTGAATAAAAACTTTTTATTAGATATATAAATAAGAAGATGATTTATGAATTCTTTAAAGCCAGTACAATACACCACATCATCTACCAACATTCGACTCGTTCTATAAAAAGTACAATCGAAAATTAACAACAATGTACAATGCATGGCACAGACCTATACAATATCAAATTTGACAATTTAACATGACGTTCTGCATTTATATGAAATGTTATGATATATGTACATGTAGCTGGATTCTGTATGTTTTACCTTAACTACATATGTACAATATGAGCAAAAAGTGGGAGGGGCGCACGTAAATCTGGTTTTAATAACTGCATGCATCTGTGGCACCGTGGCAACTCCGTCTGCATTGTGTCTAACCACTTAGACCACTCGGTGATATATATAATAATAATAATAATATAAAATCTTAAAAATTTGTTCAATGCATCATGAACATCTTTTTACATGTTATAAAGTTTATAACCACTGAAAGATGACCATCCATTTGCATACATGTACTGCCCTTTGTGTCCGGCTTGGATCCTAACAAGTACTTTGTCGCCTTTTTTAATTTCAAGAACAACGTTTTGACTTCTCGAAGGATGATCTTCTACACTTACTGCCGATACATAGTTTCTTGCAACAATATTTCCGTTAAGAGTAAGTTCAGTGAAAAAACTTTTCCTCTGCTGACCAAGAAAAGATGTAAACCCCGTTGGAAGGAGCAGTAAAAATACCAGTGGATGAGTCGTATCCATTTCCCAAGTTCGTTATGACTGTGTTATATACTACAACAGACTTTGAAGGGATGTTTTTCAACGCAACTGAATTTTTAGCCATAAACGCAACTTTATCTGGTTCTGAAAGAAATAAAAAAGTTATATCATATTTTTAATAACATTAATCCAACTAACAATCCTGGCAATCAATCAATCATATATACGTCTTAATAATACTCGTGAAGAAGATGAAACCACTTTAATTTCGAGTCTGCAAAGTGAAATAGAGCAACCTGTTTTAAATATACCAATTTCATTCTCTCGCGATCAAAAATCACAAATGTAGAATTGTTTATATATTGATATTCAAAATCTGCGTATTTATATCTTAAGTTCATCCTAATATAAAAATAAGGAGATGAGGTATGATTCCCAAATGAGACAACTATCTACCAAAGTTCAGATAAAGTGGATGTAAGCAATTATAGGCAACCGTACGACCTTCAACAATGAGAAAAACCCATACCGTATAGTCGGCTATAAAAGTCCTCGACATGAAAATTATAAAACAATTAAATTGAGAAAACAGACGACCTGATTTATAAAAAAATTGTGTACGTAAAACAAATATGACAGACATGAACCAACTAAAACCACTGAACTACAGGCCCCTGACTTGGGATAGGCACATAAAGAATGTGGCTGTGTTAACCTACATGTACCCTAACCTGGTACAGTTATGTAACTGCACAACATAAGAACAAACTATAAAAATCAGTTGAAAAAGGCTTAACCCACCAGGTCGATACAAAGCAGAAAAAATATCAAACATAAATACAGACCGGAAGTGACAGGGTATTTATCCATCCCTCATCCTTAACAACAAAAAATACACTAAGTACAGATCTACTCAGTAAGAAATACTAAATATTTTCAAGTATTACAAATATCAATATAAAGAGATATTGAGAATTCTACAATTTATAAAACTAATGAAAACAACGCCCCCTCCAGCCAGAAAAAAATAATAAGAAGAGAAAAAAATATCTCTGTTGCAACATACAGTTCCGATCATAAAAATAGTCTAACAATAATTCAAGCTCAATACGACCTGAGCCGAGACTTAATCGAATGGTTCTGTGCCAATATCCTTTCGAATCTTTGTACCAAGCGAGCGATAGTTGGCGGCAGAATATAACGACTGGATTATTTAGATTTAGTCTATACTATACCTGAACCTCTTCCTGTACAATCACATTTTCCATCATTGTCTTCGACGAGTTTAAGCTGGTATTGGATACTCTTCATTAGATTAGCATTTCTGGATCGGGATTTAAGGCCTGTTGCCATTAATGTGGAAACACATGCCAGTAGGATAACCTTAAATATACTGAAACAGGAGCAAAGTCTTAATTAGAAATTTGTTTTTATCTTTTAGGAATTCTTGTATTAATGTTTTGTCTTGTTAACCAGATATTTTGCTTTATCATTCCGATAGTTAAGGTAAAATTATAAATTGCCAAAGACACAATTTTGATATAAAAATAGAACCATGAATCCTGGTTTAAGCTTAAAGCACTTTTGATTCTGGCGTAGTCGACTAGAATAACATAGATGGATCTAAAAAGCTTCTGTATATTCCGAATTCAATGCAATGTACTGATGGTATAGAGTACTCGATGATTACTTTAATGAAGGACAAATAAATGATGTTTACCTGCATTTTGTAGTAGGATACTTTAATAAAAAACCAAAACTATAATCTTTCTTGCGATATTAATCATGTTACATTTATTATTCAATTGAATAACAACACATTGAAATAACTTTAGAATTACCTATTTTTTTTATTTTATATAACTCTTTCTTTGGTATGAAAATATAAAGAAGCATTCGATAATTGGTGGGGATAATACATAATTGTTAATATAAAAAAGGACGCAAGAGAGATCAGGGGAGGTGTTTGTTTTTTAAAAAGAACATCGTTTAATCTCTACGAACTATTGTTTACACATGTTTTTATTATAAATGTAAGAATGATAATATTTACCTCAATTAAACAATCCGATGCATCGTGAGAAAAGAGTGCCACGCTTTTTTTGCTAGTTAAAAAGTTCTTGTAATAACTTTCTTAGGGGTCTTTGGTGGCCTGTTGCAAGGTAAATTCTCTCCAATATACCTGTTTTTAAATTGCAATCTTAATTACTGTCGTTCATTCCAGTTGGCCTGCCTTTTAGAGCCTACCTGTTAATGTTCTTGTCTTAAATATGGATGAGGAAATTGCGTAACACGTTGCCCGACAATGACATTTACACCATTCTTGTTAAAATTTGATCTAGGCATCTGCATTATGAGAGTGTGGATGGAGGTTTACAGAATAGAGAATATTGGCAAAAAATATATAAAGAATAGAGAAAAATGGACAAAACAAAAAATAAAGAGTAGAAAGTAATGTGCTAAAGTATAAAGAATTGACAATAATGGGCAAAAATTATAAAGGATAGAGAACAATTGCCTAAAAATAATTAAAGAATACAGAAATAAAGGACCCCCATCCAGACCTTTCATTATGCACTTACATGTATATTAATGGGGATGAATTTTATTCTCGAATCATCATTCAATCATTCAATAAAATAGTCTTCCAGTTTGACGCATGTAAGATGAACCTCTAAGAAATCACGATGACATAATTATATGTGCGTTCAAGGAATTTAAATCTTAAATAAGTCATGCATATTAACAAACGGTATGGAATTATAAAAGAAGACCAACTATAAAAAGTTCAATGAAAACAAACTGAAACAAATAACATACCTCATTTAGATCTGTTGATACGCTTACTGGAACTGTTTGGTTTCCATCTGCTTCGTGGAATAATTTTTGGGGCAATATACCAAGCTAATGACACGCATGTTCCTTCATTAACACGCAATCTGATTATTGGGCAATATACCAAGCTAATGATACGCATGTTCCTTCATTAACACGCAAACTAGCCATTGTGTTAATGTAAGTTGATATCAGTCTCAATAAGGGTTAATGGCTTATAAATCAGCAACATTGTTGAATACTAGTATCAGTATGCAGAAGTTATGACAAGGTCCTCCACTTTCGAAATATATATCGGAGAATTAAAAGAAAAAAATATAAACAGGTCTTTTAATTTTAAGATTTATCAAGTCTTTCCACCTTTCTGTGGAAACACCTTTTGTTTTTGCTCTCATTAGTTTTCTTCTTCTGTCAATTTGTTTCTTGCGCTGTATTGTGGTTTCCCAATATGTCGCTTAGATATTTGGAAAATTATATCGAGCAGTAAAATGTTATTGCGCTTTTGAAACTCGCCCTGTTTAACCGTACACTTTAACTTGTAAGAGTTATCTCTCCTAACACTGTTTTTGTTGTGAGCGCATATCCTCCGTAACCCTCAACGGAATCGAATAATTTGACATTTCAAATTGCTAGTTTTAAAATCTTAAAATCTCCTGTTCAATTTTACAAACGCAATGCAAATAAAATTGAGAATGGAAACAGGGAATACGTCAAAGAGACAACAACCCGACCAAAAAGCAGAAAACAGCCAAAGGCCACCAATGGGTCTTCAACACAGCGAGAAAATCCCGCACCCGGAGCTGGGCTTCAGCTGGCCCCTAAACAATAATGTATACTAGTTCAGTTTGAAAGACTCAATATGAGAGTTAATTCCCCTTCTGTATTAGAAATAAGTGATATACTAATGTATAACATTACCCTTAAATGATAGAGACGTAGGGTATCATAATTTGAAAACCTTTGTCCACCAAAAAGAAATGAGATCAAGGTCAAATATTTAGGTCATGTTCTCAATTTTGAATTTTGCTTATGATTGATCTCTCCTGAAACTTAAAAAAAATGTTTGCATTATTGTGATGAAGATATGGTACAATTGATCTGAAACAATCCAATGACATCTTACAGGAGTTACTGCCCCTAAAATGTTTAAATTCAAGGTTGATTATTACTTCAATCTGGTACATGATTAAATCATAAGGTCTTTAGCAAAAGGTCGGGTGACATATGATCTTAAAAAATGTCAACCGAAATTACCTTGAGTAAACGGAAGTAGCCTTTTTTGCACTTCTTTCATGGAAAAGTACCAAGAAACCATATTTTTGGGGAATCGGAATACAGTTACCTATCATATGAGACCGAAAGTGACCTTCTTTGAACCGGAAATAGTAAAATATCAATATAACATCCATATATTTTGTGGAATCAATGGGAGGAAAGCTTTCATATTAAACCGGAAGTGACCTTTTTAAACCGGAAGTAACAAAATACCTCCTTATTTCAAAGAAAAGACAAAAGAAATCATATTTTTTTCGAATCCTTGTAAATAAAGTTATTATTTGACATATTCTAACCGGATGTAGAAAGTTATTATTTTAGCAAAGGTATATAAAAACCCTACATTTTATAAAATCCGTATGATATGACGACTAAAGTAACAAGGTAAACCGGAAATGGCTTCTCATCAATGATTACAAATTTAATATTGGAAAGACTTTCTATTCTTCTCTGAATAATTGGTCCTTGGTTATTTTTGGGTTGAGGGGATTTTTTAATACTTGGTCGTTCACATCTACATCTAAAGAGAGTTCTCAGAAACAAAAAAATACAGTCACATGAGGCGACAAATGCATCTTGAAGAGACTGATCATGTGATATAAGATAAACCATATGGACTGGCTATGAATAAGTTTTTACTTTTCATTTCTGATGTTCGGTTTTACTTTCGAGTTCATTTCGAATGTATACTCTAAGTTCTACCTTGGTGTTGTTTCGTATTGCAAATGTTATAAAATTGAAAAAAAAGGTTTAAATTTTTCCTCTAAACTGGTTCTGGAAGGTTCGATAACCCTTCTATTTGTTATTCCAAACCATCAATACCCAGGTTTCTAAACTTATCAAATCTCCTCGTGAGGTTTGAACAGTTAAACAAACCAATATCAAAACTTTTGATGTGTTACTGTTGTTAAACCGAGACTGGTTTGAAACCAAACAAAAATACATTGAAGAACCGAAATCAAAATAAAACTAGATTAAATGCAACAAATGCTATGATGTATGTCATATATTTAAACTATAGGTCATTGTGGCTTCTCTGTAAAGCATCTGTGAAGTTGTTTAGATCAATAATAGAAAACAGCTTTATAAGCTGATGATAGTAAATGGCCTCTTACTACAATGTTTCGTTTAACCTTATTCAATTTCTAACCGAGTGTAAAAGGATCAAAAAGATAATTGTTATATCATTTAACACAACACAAAACGTTACTGATTTTTTATTATTACCTACATGTATCTTGAAGCACTATAACAGATACTTTCTGGGTTGGATTAACACTTAAGGGAACCCAGTTTACCTGGAGCGATGGAACACCAGCACTTTTCACTGACTGGATGCAAGGTGAACCAAACAACATGGACATTGCAAAGTGTGTAATTATAGTCGGAAGTGAGTTCCGGTGGGACAGTAAAGACTGCACTAGACTGGACAATTTACTTTGTCAATGTAAGATATCATATAAAAATACGAAGATGTGGTATGATTGCAAATGAGACAACTCTCCACAAGAGACCAAATGACACAGAAATTAACAACTATAGGTCACCGTACGACCTTCAACAATGAGCAAAGCCCACACCGCATAGTCAGCTACAAAAGGTCCCGAAATGACAAACACTAACGGCCTAATTTATATACAAAATAATGAACAAAAAACATATATGTTACACAGCAACAAACAACCACTGAATTCCAGGCTCCTGACTTGGGACAGGCACATACAGAATGTGGCGGGGTTAAACTCGTTTGAAGGCGCCAACCCTCCGCTAACCTGGGATAAACGTGTGCATTTTAATAAAAGACGATTTGGGTTATATACGCTAATGAGACAGCAACCCATGCAACGACAAGTCAGCAACATACAACCGAAACCAATGGACATATGTGTATACATTTTATTAGTCTCTATTCTCATTCTTTAATTTTAAGAAAAAAAGACGTCATGAGAACACAAAATGTCGCTAAATTGTACAGTAATAGAAAAGATAACATTTTTTTTATATACAGCATTGTCAGGTCAAACTTCTTTTTCAACAGGTCTTTCTTGTTTATTTAATACTGGGTTTTCTTATCTTTTTTTTTTTAATTTGTATTCTGTTTCTTTCAAGTATGCCCTCTCTCTCTCTCTCTCTCTCTCTCTCTCTTATTTGTATTCTGTTTCATTAAAGTATGTCCTCTCTCTTTTTTTCCATGAAAAACAACTTATATTACACAATTTCCGATATTTTCAAGTGAAATATTTCAGTCTATTACGTATTACCAAGGACTATTGACATTATCGATTGTCTGGATAAGGGATGGGTGTATATGTTTTTATATTATCTTATGTTTAAGACCTTTTGTCCCAATTTTTTATATATTGTTCGCCTATTTTTATCAATTCTTTATATTTTACCATTATTCCCTGTTTTGTAAAAACCCTTCCAGATCACCATTAAAGATCAACACTAATAAACTATCTACATTGTCAAAACTTATGATGTGTTACTGTTAAACCGAAACCAAACAACAAACTATTCAAGAACCGAAATCAAAAATGAAACTAGACTGAATGCAACAAATGCTCTGATGTATGTCATATATATAACGATTTTTAACACGATCGATACCCAAAGGAATTTCAAAATCTGAATTGCAAGAACTTAACGATCTTATTTTACAATTTCTGCTTAAATTGTGACGGCAATTGCTGATATGATTCCGATAATTCTTTTAATAGATCCAACAAAAAATAGGCTTCCGATATCAAACGATATTGATCAGGTTGGAGACGTCACAATGACAACCATTGGTGGAAGTTATCCACCAAAAACGGCGAGTGCAAGTTATCCATCCACATCGACGAGTGTCAGCGCAGGTATAACACGTAAAATTAGAACGTTTTGAAAACAGGATGATTCAATATCTATATTACATTTTGTACATGCGACAATTACAATCTTAGGTACGACATATCAAGATTTCTATCTCACGGCTGTCATTCGGTATAACGAGAAAAATGATCGTGAAAGAATACCTAACGGTGGTCAAGCATTGCGATCGGATCGTGAAAGATGTGGTATCGGATCATGAATGTAATTAATTGTAATTCTACTTCAAAATCTGTGAAAAATCTGCTGTATTTTCAAAACGCGGAGCAAATCCGGAAAAAAAAATGTCTGTCAAAATTATTCAACTTTCTCTATAATACTGTGCAATAAGATAAAGACAATATGCAGTACTTTATGAGAAAACACAAAAAGCGCAACACAAGCCTATGGGATTCATTAAAAAAACACACATTTTGTACCTATAATGGTCACATTCCAATATATAATGTTATTTTTGAAACTGAATCTTTGGTGTGTCAGATAGTACAGTAAAATAAAAGATTTTTTTTCTTGATACCGTTTATTTTGTTTTTGAAAACATTGAATTTTGTTGATTTTTCATCAAAACTGATCGTGAAAGATCGGGCAACGCATTATCTTGATCGTTAAAGACAAGGCGTGACCAGACGGGCGCAGGACGTTTGCGCTTTTTTACCTGTAACACTGAAGGTCATTTCCGCTTCAAAAACTATGGACATTTGCGCTTTAGACTTTGATGCACCTGTACAAAGTTGACAAGACATTTTCGCTTTTAACCTATAACAGTTTACCTGTAATCTTAGAAAATTTACCAAAGTCATGGACTGATGGACATACTTTCACGCAAACGTCCCACGCCGGACAAGACTTAAAAATCAGAAAACAATATTTTTTTACCAATTGATATACATTTGTATTTGCAACTAGTTGAAGCGTGTAATTATTT